TAAAAAAATTACATAAATGGATTTTTACCAGTTATTTTCAATAATATTTCCTTAACCAGTGTGTGCCACCTAAAATGTGTGCTATATTCTACAAAGCTATGGTTTCCTAGAATAATCATTACGTGAAAACATAGATTACGGATACACTAGGCCGGAGTCAAAGGAAATGTTTATGTGTACCTTTTACTTGTTTTTGTGTCAGTACGAGTTTATTAATAGCTCGTGACACCTTTAGCTGAACATTCCGTATAACATAAGCAACAAATATAACCATAAATATAACTTTTTATTTCCCAGTTTCGACTCGGTTCCTAATTATTATTATAAAACTGATGAATAAAACTGACGATCACCATAACCTTTCTGCTACCAAGACAATTTCCTAAAACAATGTGGTCATCATGATTTTACAGAAAAGCTTTTGAAAACATCACGAAGGGGGTCAAAAGAGAATCGGACGTCATGTAGAAAAACAAAATAGAAGAGGTGAATTGAAATTGGTAAAATACTGTGTCAATAGGCTTTCTCCACGGGGAAATCAATGGGACCGAAGAAGAAAGGATCGAATAACCAAATTCAGCAAGCGATTGTCCAATCAAACAGTACCTTCCAATGACAGTTGTTATTTCGATAATGGGGAGACGTCCGTCCGTTATGCTTTGCCTACTTAGACTCGGTATTTTACTTGTCTCGTCCTCAATTCCAGTGGGAAACAAACGTTTGAGTTTCATTCTAAACGTTTAAGATGTTTCTTGTAAGATACATGTGTATGACTTTTGTCAAGAAACTGGAATAGTAATTTTCTTTATTAACATCGAACAGTTTTCAAGTGCTATTATGGTACTCTTTTATTAGGCTAGTTTATATAAAGTTACATTTTAGACACCCTTACATTCAACTTACTCTGGGCGAATGTAATGAAATATGTTATACTGTCGTTATTCTGATAAAACAATAATCTCGCAACTTCCACTCATTCTTCTCATCTTCCCTCTTTCATTCTTGCTAGGTTGAAATTTTATCTCAATCCCATCATCTATTCCCACTGCTAGACTCGATGAATATATTTGAGCTAGCCATTATAATTATTACTTCTCTTGTATTTATTGTGTATGGTTTCTATTTATGTCTTTTTGAAAAGGGACAACACTTTAATATTTTGTTTATGTTGAGATATAAAGTAAAAAACATACGAGCTCATTTTATCTCGTCGACTAACATATCCTATAAATATATGCTCGTTAAAAAAAGTAACAAATTAACTGTAATTTCAGGCAGTGAGCAAGTTTTCTGCAACGGTTCCATATACATTTTACAAACTCGATGGCGAAAGAAAGTTTAGTCTTAGTCCGGGTTCCTTTAAATACAAATAGCGAAGCATAGTTTTTCACTGAACGAATTTTTTGCACATTTTACAAAATAGAGGTTAGAGATAAAAACCTTTTTACTGTTAACAAAATTGATTTTAACGTCACGTGTATTTATTGCTGAGCTTAAATGTGAAGACACTAAACACCTGAATCCTCTTGAATTCGAGAGGTGAGCGTCTGATCACGAACCCGTATAAATAGATAGAGCGGTGGAACTCAGAAGTGTCACTTCCAGATCATTAGTAGATGTCTTGGCCGAGTAAAAAGTCGTAAAAGATAGTTTAAATTCTCGGCCAAATTGTCAAAAAGCTTTCACACTGTGTGGTCTGCCAACTCCAGGGTGTTCCGCTACCTTGTACAGTATGTCGACCAGGTTGGGAAACATGCATCTGTGCCAGAACATATTTGTCACCATCTGGCTCGAGCAAGATTTATATTGGCTTTTGGAACAGATTGCTTCTGGTTTAGTGTACAGGTATAACCCAGTTGTCAGTGGATTGTTGAACAAATGTAACCTGAGGGGTTGATTGGGTTTATATCGCAAAAGGTAGAACTTAAGAGTTTCAAATTTTCTAACAATAAAAAAATTATCAATTATTAATGTATAACTAAACATAAGTACCCTATCAGCCTAGACCGTAAAAGAAGTTATTTATAATCCCCTAGCCACGATTTGATAGTGCGTTATTTTTAAACACATTATAATCATTAAATATTCGAAAGGTAGCAATTTTTAAATCACCAATATTCTTTAATTTTGGTAGAGATGGCCCGTTCTTAAATATCTTGGACATTTTCGTCTAGTTCTCGTTCTTGAATGAGTTCTGTTTGACGGAAAATCGGCTAACTTTGTATCTGGCTTGAGGGCCTATTTTATATTTTTAGTTCACTAGTAAAAACTAGCTATATATGTCTGAAACTCCATTAAATTGTTGTTCGGTCACTAATAATTCGTATTCATAATGAGTACAAGCATAAAGTGTACTGAAAAACAATATTCATAACTTTGTCAGTTTTCTAGCACCAATTCTTCTAAAAAGAGCCCTGGCTTACACTCTTACAGCCATATGGTGTCTGAACGCTGTGTCATGAGAATGTAATAGGTGAAGCCTTTTCCATATAAATGTTATTTCAGTTGGAGTTAATTTTGGTAAAAATTAAATTTAACAGCAAACAAGGTAGATATAAAACAACCCCCTCTTATGTAATCATCATTTTTCCTACGCTAATGAAGAATTGGTTTTAATAGATGCTCCAAAATAGAACATTATTTAACGATGACATTTTTCCTCACTTATTTATTTTTTTTTAGTAATCTCTATAACGATGACATTTTTCCTCACTTATTTTTTTAGTAATCTCTATACATTTTCGATTATGCCAAAACTCATTTAATTAAAATAGCATATTATCAGATTTTGTTACTCTAAATAAATGTATTCCTCTTCACTTTGAGTATATAAGTGGATCAGTTGTAAACCCTTGAAGTTTCTCCTTTAACAATCACTTTGTCTATTATAAAAACTTTATGGAACCCTGAGCTATAACAGTAATTGTTTTTAATGTTTTCCTCATATTTCCCTGTCCACATCGTTTGCCACATTAGTGATAAGAGCTATGTGCCGTTGTTTACGGTAGTGGTAATGTCCCTACTATGACGTCATATCGACTGCAGGTCATTCACCACTGCTACTCTCAGCTGTTACAGCTGAATAGCGTCAACAATGCAACTAATTCCGTCTCTTTTTTGTCTGGTGATGCAGCGATGCTAAAAGTACACCGGAAAATTCAGTTGAACTGAAAAGTAAATTTTAATGGTTGTTAGTGATTCGGTTCGCCGATATTGTACGATAGATTGTTGGTACGTAGAATTATTTAGAAACTATAACACCCATGTAGACTCCTCGAAGTTTTTTAGACTTGTTTTTCATGACTAAGTTACAATTTACACGTTGTTGTTTTTTTATTCAATGTAAAATATAGTCTAATAATTTACGTGTCAGTAATATATTTATTAATCATTACTGAAACAGTTGGAATTAAATCAGCTTAAGTTACCACGAACACCAGAAAGTTTAGAAATGCACAATTTTAAATGTTTAAGGTATAACTTTACACATATTTGAAGTACTTTTGATATAGCTATGTAAAAAAAATGTTATAAGCCTTTTCCAGGTACAGTTAGTTACCTTACGTGCTTTTTATGTGAACAGCAATTTGTATCATTACGAAAATGAATTAAGAGTTATAAAATATAACTGTTATAACCCTTGTCTTTTGGTCGGTATTTTTTGTAAATGTAAAACAACAAAAACCAAAAGATTAAAAATAAAAGCAGATATTATGTGTCCAATAATAGACGCGGTAAATTGGTTTCAATATAAGTTCCATCACATTTTCGACCGATTTGGGTGCGGTTTAACTGAGCGGATTTAGTTAAATTAAATCTTTAGATATTCTTAGTGAAATCTGGAAGTCAACATTTTAACCCTGTACAGTACTATGTTTGCTTTCTTTCAAGATTTTGTCGTAAAATTGTATGAAGAAACTGCTATAGTAGCCGATTACAATATATATATCTGGTTATAAACAAGCTAACTCTTTTTATTTGTTTTTCATTCCTATGCTTACATTAGTTTCACACAAATTTAGACTCAAGAGTTATTATAATGACAATAATAATAATTGTATAATTTTTTTAGTTGGTTCTTGTGTTTAGGCAAAACACGCTATTGAAAACCACTGCGGCTATGAGGTATGGCATACAACTCCATACATCTTGTGGTATACATAGAAACGTGCGTATTTGTTTTCCTTTTACTGTCAGGCCATAGGACATTGCGTACTTTCTTAAATTGTGTACACATTTATAAACAAGTGCTTCCAATTTACTTAATTCAGTCAGCCAATAGATTTTGTCCTTTGAAAATTGACAAATATATTATTGTTGAATTTGGCGGAGTACCGTGATAAAGTATTTAGCTTTACAGATTAAAAACTTGTTGTTCCTTCAAAATGGCCTTAGTTTTTATATAATAATATTTAATAGTTTTGATCACAAAGAAAACTTTTGCTTTGGCTAATTTTGAATTCAAATTAAATTTAACCTGTATTTAGAATTATATTTTAAATCTCTTCCTACATAATCAAAGTATCTTAGTAGATCTTATAGCGTTAGTTACTTATATTGTAGAATTAAAAATTTAACTGATTGATAGAACTATTAAAATATAAAAAAGAAAATTTATGTTTTGTATATTATTATTGAATTTCAATTGAACAATCAATTGAATAGTACTATAATGACATATTCATATAATGTCCTAAATTCAGGTGATGAAAACCCTCATAATTCATTTTCATCATAGATTTTGTATATACAATCTCTTTTAATACTGTATATCTATTTGTGTCTCCTAAATATAGAGCAACCATTTTTTTCCTTGGAAATAAAATTGGCATTTTTTATATTATAATAAACATTATTCCCCACCAACAATCTACAATTTCAATACTTTTATCCAACCAACTAATTTATCTCCATCCAATTTTTCAAAATCATTTGTTTGCTATTAACAGCTGTGTCATATACTCACGAGTACACAACAAAGTATTATCCAAGTATCGTACCAGAGACGAGGTAGTTACTGTATCCTGCAGCACCGAAACACACGACAGGACGACGGCAGAGCCCGCGGTAGACTGAGGATGGTAGGAGCACCGTGGGACACCGTGGTCCTGGGGTGGGGGGAGCTGATAACACGGCACGGGGATGGGTCCGTGCGGAGTGTGGTGTGATTCATCCAGGACTCATGGAGCTGCCGGTGTCAACTCTAGTATATGTTATGGAATAAATGTAATTCGTTCAAACGCCGTTTTGCAGCAGGTCTGTTGATAAGAATAGCTGGGTAGATGAGAGGTAGTGCTCGCCCAAGATGTATCGAGTAAAAGTACTTTTATAAGTAACATACTTTTATAAGTATGGAGTAAAAGTAACTTTTACTCCATTCATCTTGGTGCTCGCCTAGTAATCAAAAGGTCAACAGTTCGATCCTAGTCAAGCTTTTTTATGGTTCGAAACTGGACTCAAGCTGTTATTACGCTTTTAAGAAATGGTATTGGCTAAAAAAACAGCTGATCAAAAGTAAATAAATCGACAAGGCACTTCTCTTCTTTCATTTGGACTAAAGCTTTAAAGTAAGCGCCTAGGTAACCCCATTTTAATTGGTAACTGGTAAAAATATTCGAAAAATAGCCACCATATATGTAATGGATTAAACATAAGGTGCACTTTCGATCCTCACTGTCTTTCTATCACGACAAATTCGTTGACATAAATTTCTTAACAGTGCAAGTATTACACGCCTGTTCTTTTACAATATAAGAGCTCCTTTCCGTTGGCTTCTACTGTTTCTGTGTAGTTTGGCTTTTAAAAGATGGAACCTCGATAAGAATACCCTCGATAACAAGTCACCCTTGATAACAAGTGTCATTTTCATATCCCCTTGAATTTTAATTTGACCTCTATGCAAACCTCAATAAGGAGTTGCCTTGATAACAAGTCTTATTGAATGGCATATTTTACGTGTGTTTTTTTTTTTTTTTTTGACGTACCTATTTTATGACTTGGTGACTTGTTATCGAGGTTCTAATGTGTAATTCGTTTACTTTGCAACTTTAAAAACGTTTGTTTTTAACTTAAACATTAAATTTGGATTTTAAAATAATCTCTCACAAAAGTAATTTAAGGGGAGTCTGTACCTTTTTGGTGAAAAAAAATTTTTTTTTTATTTTTATCTTAAAAAATTCTTCAATTCTTTGTGTTTATTTATATATATAACACTTCATATTTTGCAAAAGTTTTTTATAAAAAAAAAACAAATAAATAGTACTGCACGATATTTTTCAATGTTCTTAGGATGCGCGACCTAAGCCCTTTAGAACTTCAAGGGCGTTTTACCGAAAATAGTGTTTTTTAAAAGTTAGGTACGCATAACTTAAAAACTATAAGAGATAGCAATATGAAACTTCACACACATCTTCTTCACATCATGGTGAGTAGTGCTTGATACCTCTTTTAGTTTAAAATGATTTGGTTTAAGTCATTACCAAGGTAACATACAAAATAAATCAGGTAAAAAAATTGCATATTTTATTTATAAAAATTAAAAGATTAAAAACAAGAATATATTTAAGTTTTAACTAGCAAGCCGGATACCCTATGCCATAGAGATCATGTAGTAAAAATTTCACTTTAAATGGTTTATAGGTTGCTGAGGAATGCGTACCTATATTGGTGCATATCTTCCCATTTAAATAGCATTAGGGCGTAAAAGGGACAGACTCCCCTTAATTAAACGGAAGTGAATGTAAAAAACCACGAAGAACAGTTTACTATCCATCAATAAATGTTAGGGTAGTGTAACTTTTTTCCTGCAATAGCTTTGAAGAACCAAAATTTTCTCTTCTACGTCGTTCCTACCTTCTCCGTTTTGAAAGGGGAATGAGTTTACGTTTGGATATTGTTGAAGATTTTGATTTTGTTGCTAATAACAAGATTTTTTCTATATCTAATAGACAAAGCAATACAAATAAGTAAGCGAACCGTATCCTATGCTACTAACCAGCGGTTTTACTGCGAGTTTCAAAAATAAATTATGAAATGGATAATCAAGGTAGCGTTTTAAACGTTCAAAATTTAATTATGTAATTTTCACTCAACTAACAATGTATGTTTCATTTTCAGGTAGGTCAAGCCCCAGTGTATTGGTAAGTGATTTATCTATCCTCAATATCTATTTATTACGATACACATTATAGATACTAGTTACCACTGCTGCCATTGGTTTTGGTTAGTTGGGTTTAGTTAGGTGAATTATACGGAAACGGTACTTTTTTTTATTCATTGTACAGATAATTAAAACAAAAATATAAGACAAGGTGTTTTCTAAAAATATCAGTCGTGTTTAGTAAATTCAACTACACCAGTCCAAAAACAGTTGTTATATATAAAGTAATCAATTAGCTAAAATTACTAAAAGGCAGGAAGATATTTCTACGAACAGTTTCGACTAAGAAGACAAACGTGGTTTACCGGAAGTTGGAGAAATTAGAGGAATTATTTTGTGGAAGAAGGTGGGAGGTGGGGTGCGACGAACCTCGAAACAATTTCACAGCAGATCGAGCGAGAGGCAAAAACCCGCGGGAATACCAGGTCCTGAGGGAACAAAGGGAAAACGGGATTGACTGATTGAATCGAGTGGCGACTGACGTGCTGGACATCTGGAGATACTGGAGTCTTCTTCTACAGGAGAGCCGGGAACGCTGGAGAAGACGTAGTCTGGCCTCAACTAGAAGATTCAAAAAGGGCTTTAAGCGTTTGATGGAGTCTTGTAACTTTGACTGACGGTGTGTAAAATACTCTAGAATCTAGATCGTTAAAAAGATGTTAAAAACTGAAATCATGTTTGTGGAAGACATAGGCTAAAATAGGATTTGCGTTAGTAAAAAAGTAATTGCAGTCTTGAGCGAATATCGATGGATAGGGAATAAGGTGTCTGTGTAGTGAGTAATGGTAGGGCTTTGTCTTATTGGCTGGGTGTGAACCATTACAATGAAATGATAGGTTATCTAATCCAATATACTCCAATATACTTTGGACACTAATATTTTTTTGTTTTAGTTCCAACTTGTATTTCATTAAAGAAAATGATAGATGACTGTCTTCGTATTTAATTGATCTCTCTCCACGGAAAGTTGTACGGTAATTTACCCATTTATGTACAACGCCATTGTATACAAACTCATATGAATGTAAATTGCCACATTTGTTGGTTGAAATCGAGAAACAATATTTTTATGGAATCAACTTGAGTCACGTTTCTGTTTTCTTTAATTCTCCACAATTATAAAATTACTACTCTCTCGTGATCATCCAATAACTTTGCTTAATCCAATTACAAGTTGACTACACTTATGTCGTAGAGAAACTTAAACATTTTTAGGGTAGTCTTTACCTCTTCCTCGAGGCCAAGCATCAAGTATGTACTTTTGGCTGAAGTAACCAACAGTTGTTTATATCGTTGGAAGTAAATAATCGACCCAAACGTTGAGGTTGGGGATACCCATAGGAAATCTAGTCACGAAGAGTCGCTATCACATTTAATAAACATGAGGGGCTAAGGGTTGTATGTGTCTTTATTTTAAGTTTCTCTTTTAAAAATAAAAGAAACTATATTTAAAAATTTAATTACACAGTGCTAACTGTACAGAATGAAACTAAACAGAATGGATCAACCCATTGAATTCCTGTCTAGTCAATCAGTTATATATTTACTGACAAAATATTCAATGTATCAACCCTAAATTGCCTTCTTAGTTAAAGGTTTGGAATTTAAAATATTTTGCAAACCATTTAACACGTTCGCTGCTGAGCGCTAGATGCCGGGACGGCGCCAGTTGCTGAACTAACGCTCGGCCGCTGCGTGACATTGCCACCGATACACTGAATTACAGTAAAAACAACAGTAGTTATACTGGATGGCAATGTTCTGCAATAATACTGGCATTTGATATAGTACTAAGTGATTCTGATGGATAGCAGCACTACCCAGGTTACAGTCGGTAAAGTAGTGTCGCTATCTAGCAGGAAAGAGATAAAACAAAGCCCTGTTCCAAACAACCCTGGTGGTGATTTGGGAAACTATATTTTTTATTGTCAGAAAAGTACGTCCCCACGAGCTGCAAAGAAATATAGAACGCTTGTGACGTGCTGGCTTATCCATAGCAACGTTAAACAACAATGAACGGTGACGTTCTGGAACGTTCTTAGCTCCTGGCGCCGTGGCCCGGCTGACGTTCCGGAACGTCCGTAGCAGCGAACGTGTTAAGTCAATTATGCTAATTTTCAGTCAACTCGCTACACCTTGTGGGTGGTAATTTGGCGGAAATAGCGTAAGGTTCCGGAAAATTAGGCCCAGTTTTGGGCACTCATGCAGATGAGATAGGCTAATTACTTTCCCAGGAGAGTTGGATGCATTGTCTGGTGATGACTGTTTGTAACCAGTGGCAAGGAAAGTGAAATTGTGCTGAAGAAGCTAATATCGTACGGGAGATGACTCAAACCAGAGATAAAAGAAACAAATCCTAGTAGGGTTTCTTTCATCTGTGCTCGAACTGACGGTTTTAATGAGACTAAACAAAACAACTTAATCTAAAATGTACATTTTGGTGGAGGATTCATGAAACATATATTACCAACTTTGGTGTAGTTTACATCAACATGAAAATTTGTTAAACCCATAAAAATAATTAACTCAATGTTATTCATAAAATAAAATTACGTACTTATGTAAATTTATAAGTATACAAAAAAAACAATAGCTAGAAACCACGAACTAAACATTTACAAAAGCGTTAGGAGAGCAACGATATCTATTGAGTCCTTATACATTTTTCAGTGCTATTTCCTAGCGTGATGTCAGGAAAAATTGAGATCAGCACTTCGGTTCTACAGGTCCTGTCTGTATAGCCGATGAATGGAAGGTCAGTAGAACAACTTGTACTGTTTTCAATGTACTTCCAACGTGGTTTTTCTGTGGTTACTGTTTGGTTGATTGAGCAATAAACTCGAGAATGTTATTCAGTTTCGGTTTAGTTTTATTGTTAGA